GGTCCGGCCCGCCGTGGCGCCTCGTCGCTGCTCGGCCCCGAAGGCTTCTTCCTTGGCAAGATGGGATTCCGGGAGGCGGTGGCGGCCGGAGACGTGGATTTGCCTCAGGTGCGGAGCCGCAGCTGCAGGAGGATGCTCGCGAGGACCCCCAGAGCTCCGCCCGGAGGGTACTGTGAGGCCATTAGGAGATGGCGGTGGATGACTTCTTCATTTAAACACTGGAGCGGTCACACGGCAGCACGAGGAGGGTGTCCTCGGCAGCTACTCCCGGTTGCTCAAGGTGTCTCTCGCTCGCCCTCTAGGTGCGGGAGGAGCTCGAGGCCCAACTAAGCTGCTTCCGAGAGCTGATGGGCAGGGCCCCCACGCACGTGGATGGCCACCAGCACGTGCACGTGCTCCCAGGTGCGTGGTTGGTGATCCCAGTTTGGAGGGCGTTTACTCCCAGGTGGGGCTGGGGAAGTAGGGGTAGTTCGATGCCCCCAGGTGAAGGGACGTGCTCCTCCTAGACCCGCTCCGCCCGCAGGCGTGTGCCAGGTGTTCGCCGAGGCGCTGCAGGCCTATGGGGTGCGCTTTACGCGACTGCCGCTGGAGCGCGGTGTGGGTGGCTGCACTTGGCTGGAGGCCCCCGCGCGCGCCTTCGCCTGCGCCGTGGAGCGCGACGCCCGGGCCGCCGTGGGCCCCTTCTCCCGCCACGGCCTGCGGTGAGGCTTCCCGCCCTGTCTCCTACCATAGCTGCCCCAGTCCCTCCGCACTGACTATTCACCTGGCTAGCTGTGTCCGTTTCTCAGCCCGGAAGCGAGTCTGGCGTCGATCGCTGCCGCCACCCCAGTTCCCCCCTCCCGCCCCCCGTCCCTACCCTATCCTACCCTACTCTAGCCTAGCCCTGGCCATGGCCCGGCCTGGCCCCGCGGCTGATGCCCCGCCCACTACAGGTGGACAGACGCCTTCGTGGGTCTGAGCACTTGCGGCCGGCACATGTCCGCTCACCGCGTGTCCGGGGCCCTGGCGCGGGTCCTGGAAGGTACCCTAGCGGGCCACACCCTGACAGCCGAGCTGATGGCGCACCCCGGCTACCCCAGTGTGCCTCCCACCGGCGGCTGCGGTGAAGGCCCCGACGCTTTCTCTTGCTCTTGGGAGCGGCTGCATGAGCTGCGCGTCCTCACCGCGCCCACGCTGCGGACCCGGCTTGCCCAGGATGGCGTGCAGCTTTGCGCCCTCGACGACCTGGACTCCAAGAGGCCAGGGGAGGAGGTCCCCTGTGAGGCCACTCTGGAACCCTTCCTGGAACCCTCCCTACTCTGACCCGCTACCGACAACCAAGCACTAATCCCCTTACTACCAAGCAAGGGGAGCCAGGATTTAGTCCTGGCCCAGCCCAGAACCGGTCCCTGGAGCAGGGTCTGTTGACTTCCCTGGGTAGGACACTGCCACGTCTGGGCCCAGGTCCTCATGGCTCCAAATGGTATCTAGAGTTTGAGCAGCCTTCTTGGCTGCAGGCGGGTCCATCCTGTGGCAGCGGGCTAGGGCCCGCAGAGCATTTGGTGCCCCTCCATGCTGCAGTGCAAACACCTTCACCACTGGGGCAGTGGGGAAAGATGGCTATATTAATAAAATAACGTGTGTCTTTCAAACTTGGGTGGTTTATTAGCTCTGCCCAGGAGACCCTCACAGAAACAAGCAGGGACAAAGAGCAGCTCCCTCTTGGCTCAAACCACTCCAGGAAATGGCCCATTCTCCATTCTGGTTTTGTTCATTTGTTCATGCTGCGGTTTTCTTTATTCCTTTTTAGGGGGTGGGAGTGGGAGAAGACTGCCCTCACCAGGCTGCTTTTGAAGAGGCATAATACTATAATCTCAGTAGTGATTTTTAGAAGTCACCTGTAGGCCGAGTGCGGTGGCTAACACCTGTAATCCCAGCACGTTGGGAGGCCGAGGTGGGTGGATCACCTGAGGTCAGGAGTTTGAGACCAGTCTGACCAACATGGAGAAACCCCATCTCTACTAAAAATACAAAATTAGCTGGGCGTTGGTGGTGCATGCCTATAATCCCAGCTACTCAGGAGGCTGAGGCAGGAGAATCGCCTGAACCTGGGAGGTGGAGGTTATGGTGAGCCGAGATTGCGCCATTGCACTCCAGCTTGGGCAACAAGAGTGAAATTCCGTCTCGAAAAAAAGAAAAAAAAAGAAAAAGAAGTCATCTGTTTAGATGTAAGCCATTCTAGGGGATAGGCGTGAGGAGACCCTGCAACCCCGTGGAAATACATTTAAATTTTTCTAGGAGGAGCAGTCTTCCCAGGAAATGGGATACCGAGGTTTCTACCTTGACCTGGCAATGTAGGGATGCCCTGTGGACTGGGGCCCCATGTGGCTTCGGCGAAAGCTCCTGAGGTGCAGGAGCAGATGGGGAAGGCAGTGGGAGTCCTCTGGAGCACAGAGTCCTTCTGCCCCACTCCGGAGGATGGAAAGGCAGATGGAGTACCATGTGGTTCTTATCTCATTTCATGAAATAGCATCTATGAGGCAGGCACCGATCTCCCCATTTTACAGGGGTAGAGGCAGGAGTGGCAGAACAGGGCTTTGAAACTACTCATTCATTTATTTAATGTGCACCAGGCCCTAGCCTGGGCCAAACATGGAATCAGTGGCCAAGAGAGCTCTCACCCAGCCTAGGCAGCTTAGGGGGTCGTGTGGCTTTCTGAAGGGTGAGTGTGGGATGTCTCTCCGCCTTCCTGCTTCTACCCACCCATGCCCCATCCCCTTGACTGCAGCTTCAGTCCCTTTTTCTGGCTCCACACTCGTCTTCCATCTTGACCTTCACTAGACTTGGACTCTCCCATCCACAGCCCTTTTCCTGCTTTCTTGCACCCATGCTTGTGAGCTGGAATCACTGTACGATGGCTCCTCCTGCTACCTAGCCTCCATCTCCTCGCCTCAGCCTAATGAGATCTGGCCACACTCCTGGCTGGGGCTGGGAGAGGGGTGGCCTGAAGTTAGCCGGGGGCACAGACGCAGCTCCCTTGAGGGGCTTCTGTTATGGAAGTGTTCTGAGAGGAGCAGGCAGCTGGTTGTGCAGCTCTAGGCTCAGGAGAGAGGTGTGGGTGGGCAGGAGAGATCTGGGCGTCTGCACAGATGCTAGATGAGTGGCTACTGTCACCCACGGAGGGAAGGAGAGATGAGCAAAGAGCCGACAGCAGCCCTGGGGACTGTGAACTTTTTTTTTAAAGACAGGATCTCATCCTGTCACCCAGGCTGGAGTACAGTGGCACAATCACTGCAGTCCTCGATCTCCCCAGGCTCAGTTGATCATCCCACCTTGGCCTCCCGAGGAGCTGGGAACACAGGCATGTCTGGTTCATTTTTTATTTTTTGTAGATGGGGTTTTGGCATGTTGCCCATGCTGGTCTCAAACTCCTGGGATCAAGAGATCTGGTCACCTTGGCCTTTCCTTCAGTGTTGGAATTACAGGCGTCAGCCACAGCGCCCTGCTGACCATGAGCATTTGAGTGAAGTGAAGCCAGGCGCAGTGGCTCACACCTATCATCCCAGCGCTTTGGGAGCCTGAAGTGGGAGGATTACTTGAGCTCTGGAGTTCGAGACCAGCTTGGACAACACAGTAAGACCTCATTTCTGTTATTTTAAAAAGAAAAAATAATGGCTGGGCATAGTGGCTCACGCCTGTAATCCCAGCACTTTGGGAGGCTGAGTCGGGAAGGCTTGAGGCTAGCAGATCGAGACCAGACTAAGTAACATGCCAAAACCCTGTCTCTATAAAAAATACAAAAATTAGCCGGGTGTAGTGACACGAGCCTGTAGTTCCATCTACTCAGGAGGCAGAGATAGGAGGATCGATTGAGCCTGGGAGGTAGAGGCTGCAGGGAGCAGTGATCATGCCACTGCACTCTAGCCTGGGCGACAGAGTGAGCTCGGCTCAAAAAAAAAGAGTGAAGTGAGGGGCCACAGACTCACAGGATAATCAGGCCCACCTGATTATAATGAGGCCCTCCTCACGAGGAGGTGAAAGTGATAAGGACCTGTTAGGGTGGTGACTTGTGGCCCACGGGGGTTGTGGGGGCAGCAACAGGGGTATGTCTTAGCCAAGTGGTTCACTGTTACCCACCCACTCAGCATTCGTGTCTGGAGGGTCCACTCTGTGCCAGGCCAGGGCTGGAGCTGAAACGGCCTGGTCTGCAAGGAGCTCCCAGTCTGGTACACACAAGGACAGTCATCCAGTGACACAGGAAGATGTAGGAGAAACCCGCGGCAACGTGTGCAGCCACAGGGCGGTTTCCGAACCTGGCCAGCACAGGGTGGGGAATGCTCTCTGCAAGTGACTTCCTTCCCAGGGCCTCAGTTATGGCCTCTGCACGGTGGTCCTTTCCACTCTGATCCTCTGAGGCCTCCAGGGTTCCCTAGGAACCGTCAGTGAACAAGAACACATTCCAATAATCTGGGAAATGGCCACTTACCAGGCATGACCTGGGCCAAGCACTGCACTGCACTGCACTGCACTGGGAGCAATGGTACCCTCAGCTCCCCTCTGTTCCCGGTTGGTGCCCTTCCCCCACGCCATACCCAGGAAGCAGGGAGAGGAGGAAGAGGTGGGCAGGACAGGGTGGGAAATGCAGAGAGCAGCTCTGGCTTTCTTTCAGGGCTGGGTTAGATGGCACCAAATGAAAGGAGCAGCAGCAAGGGGCAGCAGGTGACAGAAGTCAGGCTGCGGCAGGTACAGGAGTGATGAAATGGATGCTTATTTCAAGCTGAACAATTAATAGTGAACAAGGCCAAAACTGGTGGCTGGTGGCTGTAGGAAAGAGGAAGTTGACAGAGGGGCTTAAAGGTCTCTGGCTTTGGGAAGGGGGGTAACTGGCTGTTTCTGGGCTCAGAGGGACCCTGTGGGAGGAAACGTGCCAAGTGGTGGAATGCAACAGGCTCTGCAGTCAGAATGTGAACAAAAACAGGCCAGGGGTCTTGGTTGTCTTTAAAAGCAGGGATAAGGATGCCACAGGGCTCTCCTGAGGCTCAGAGGGTAAAGTGCTAGGTATGTTAAAGGCTAGTAAAATGACACCCCAGGAAGCTTCCTTCCCCAAGACCTGCAGATCCAGCTGACAGTGCAGGCCTGGTCTCAGCAGGTGTCAAATTCCAGGCAGGGAAGGCCTGGCCAAAAAAGTCCTGGGCCTGGCTGAGCCCTTGCTGAGTCAGCACCACTGCTGCAGCACCTGGCAGCGGGCTGCACTGGGGGACTCAAATAGTGTTTCTGGCTGGCACCATTCATGGACATGGTCCAGCTCCACCCTCAGGCACAGCCTTATTAATTCTGTGACCTCTTGGGACCCCAGGTTTGCCTCTTCAAAACACGGATCGTAACACTCCCAGGGGGCTCCAGGATGACTCCCACATGTAAGTGATGCACCCACACGTTATTCCCTGTCCCCTCACAAGACATCCAAGAGCGCCCTCTGCAGGCCCCGACTGTCTGGAGTCTCTGGCTTTCTCGTTGATTATACCTCATCTCCTTCCCTCTAGGGAGGCAGGAACACCTCTATGTACCTCTTTTGGAGAGGCTGGGAATGGGGAGAGAGATCAGAAGCCCCAGGACCTGGGCCCCAGCCAGCCCTCCCATCTCCAAGAGCACAGGCCCCTGGCACTGCCCGCTCCCAGGAAGGAAGAAACCCACACGACTAACCAGTGTCTGAGAGCATTTTTATTAAGGGCAGCAGAACGGGATCGCAGCATCTTAGAAAGCCTATTCTCTGCCGTGGTGGGGAGTGGGGAGCAGAGGGAAGGACCCGGCACACTTCAAGAAACCAGGCGGGTGTGAATTCCTGAGTGAGCTAGGGGCAGCAGTGGGTGGCTGCTCCACAGCTCGCCCCTCCTCCAGAGGACCCAGCTTTTTGGTTTTGGAGCAGCCAAGGCTGTTCACCAGCTTGCTCAGAGCCTACCCTGAGGGCATGGCTGGCAGGAGCAAGTCGCCCAGGCCCGAAGGAGAGACACCCACTGGCTCGAAAGCCAGGCCTCTGCTGACGGGGCCAACCCTGGGGTGCCAGTGCCAGGGCTGAGAGTCCCTGAGGGGCTGCTGGCACACAGGTATCCTCCCGTGGTGAGCAGAGCGCAGTGAGGGGGTGACAGGCAGGCAGAGCTACGTTGGCAGAAATATGAAGCAATGGGACAGTTTCCAAGAATGGCAACATTTCTGGATCCAGAGAAGCAACAAGAACAAATGGTGGCTTGTTTGGATAGTTTCTGACAGAATTTGGCATTTTATTACAAATTGGAGTGTGAGTGAAATAAAATCCATCATCATTTTTCTGCTAATGAAGAGACATATACGGAAACGCCAGCCCGGTGCCCTTGCCATCCTGGGCACACGAGTCTCCAGAAACCTGCCCTTGGCATACCTAGGACAAAAGAAGCTGAGTTCATGTACACACCACAGGGGCCACGCGCCTGAATGATGTTAGGCTGCCTAACCTGCCCATCACTCCCCACTTCTGCACAGATCAGACCGGAAAGATCTAGAATTAAAATTAAAACAAAAAGCAAAGTTTAAGTCATCTTCTCCACAGGATCTAGTCCCCCCAAAAGCCAAGAAGGGAAGCCACCAGTGGCAGAAGCGGGGTTGGTGACACACGGCATTTGGATCGTCGGCTTCCTTGGGGTGTCAGAGTGACACGGATTCTCTACTAGTTTGGGGACAATCCCATTTGCCTTGAAAAGACATTAATATTCAAATCTTTACAAGTTTATCTGATGATAAATTCTAAGGTCAATTTTTATTTCTACAAAAAAAGGCAGTCAAAACAATATAAAACACATTGAAAGGATATTACTGAGTGAGCTTCAAGTGGAGCTTGACTCTGCAAAGGATGTGAGTCCAAAGGGAGAGGAAGTCCGTCTTGTTCCCGGGCTGGGCCAGCTGCTCTGGAGGAAGGGGTCAGCAGGGGCCCAGGAGACCCCAGACTGGTGCTTTAAATAGCCGAGTCCTGCTAATTCCAATCCTACAAAGGGTCAAAGTGTGCCGAGGGAGGGCTGTGGTGGGGCCGCTGCACAGAGGAAGCGGAGAGCAAGCTCCGTGGCACATTCAGATGAAACTCGGTGACAGATGAGCTGGGAATTTCAAACGGACATTCTGGCTGTAGCTTTGCCTGCAAGGACCAGCAGATCTTCTACAATGGCTGCAGGAGGAAGTGCCAACCTGGGACATCAGGAGCCTTTCTGGCGAGATTCATCACACACAGTGTGCACAGCATCCTCCTGACTAGCAGGCCCCTCATTTCGGGGCCACCACAGACCTGTGATTATAGGGTTTGTCTGTGCAGGCCAGGCCAGAGGTCAGTTACACACACTGACATCAGAGCTTGCCCAATTAACTGATGTTACTGTGGTAACATCAGCTGGAGATTCACACAAGAACTGAGGAGAAGGACTGGAGGAGGGGTGTGGCTGTTTGTTTTTAAAATTTTTTAAAGGATGTTATAAACTGGAGTCAGGAGAATTTAAACCAACTCCCACACTGGGCAACAGTCCCACACGTGCTAAGAAAAGCCACCAGGACCGCCAGGGCAGTCTCTTCTCTTTTGTGGAGGCGGGCCCCGGGTCTGGGGAAGTAAGTGAAAAATAAACTCGGTGCCAGAAAGTGGGAGTGGCAAGGGTAGGGAAGAAAGGGAACCACAACCTTTTTTTTCCTTTTTTTTAAACATTATGGGCTAAATGCAACTTGAAGATTTTGGATAAAATTGGACAAGAAAAGAAACACCATTCTTTTGGAATAGATTGAAGCAGTGATTTTTAAAACAAAGAGAGCAGAACTAGAACATCTTAAATTTTTAATCCTTTCTTTACAGGTTACCTAGACCACTTTTGATTAAGAAAACTGTAGAAAGTTAGTAACTGCCACAAGCGAACGCCAGGCGGTGGCACGTGTCAATTTCCACAGAGTCCTGCTTTGCGGGGTGTCTGAATGCACTGCACGGGGCCTCTGCTCACACTTGCTGGAACCAATCGTGGCAGATTTTAGTCCACAGGTCGCTTTTCCCCATATTTCTTTGTAAACTCTTCAGCATTCTTACAGAATTTTTTACGGTCCTTAGAGTATTCTTCAGCTAGGTCAGCCCGAAGCGGGTGCTCGGGCTGGGGGTCATTCACCAGTGCTATGAGGGACTGGATTACTGCCAAGAGAAGGACAAGGCATGGGGGGTTAACACAGTCTCAGAAATGGCACAGGCAAGAGGCAGCTAATCCCGGGAACAAAACTCTGGCTTTACCACTGGTTTATAGCTAATGTGCTTTTAAGCCAAAGCAGCCTATCTATCCAAAATTCTGACCACCAGAAAACTCATCTTTCCTCTGTGATTAGGAGACATTGATGGACAACAAATAGCTAACACTACGGTGGATAATTGTTCACAGTGATGTGCTTCCGCCTCCAGGAAACCTTCCTGACCTGACACTGGAAGTCTTAGCCCTCAGTCACTCCCAGCCCTTTTTTCTTGGCAGGGGTTTGGGGAGGAGGGACAGGGTCTCACTCTGTCACCCAGGCTGGAATGCAGTGGCACCATCTTGGCTCACTGCAGCGTCAACCTCCTGGGTTGACCTCAAGCAATCCTCCAGCCTCAGTCCCCCGAGTAGCTGGGACTAGAGTCGCTCACCACCATGCCTGGCTAATCCAGTCCTTTTGTGTGCTCTGGAGATAGGAGGCCTAGCATTGAACTGCTCACTCTCACACACACATACACAGGGTCACTTTCTTCGGGGCAGGACTGGGTAGAACTTCCCTGCATCAGCCCAGCACCCAGCACCATGCTCGGCTCAGGGAAGTTTTGGTTAAGGTGACTGAGTGGGCACTAGAAAGAAGGGTATGTGCACTTATCAATGTGCACTGCACTTATCAATGTGCAACGACCCAACTCTGGAAGACCCTTAGGAGTTTCTGCACCCTCCAGAAAGGATCACTGGGGCCAGCCAATGGGAAGCTGACAACCGCCATCGCATCACACTGTCAAGACCACAGGCAGATGTCACACTGATGGCTCTGATGGGTGCGACAGTACTCCCCCTAGGTGCCATAGCCCAGACGTGCTCCAGGGAGGAAGGATAGTGGGGAATCAGAAGCAGCTGCTACCCACACCTCCTCACATACTTTGCCACAGCTGACCCCAACCCTGTCAGGATCAGCACCCTCAGAATGTTCCTTCCCATTGTAATACGGTGCCCCTCTTCTCCGAACTGCTGATGCCACAATTCCTTTATTGAGGGCTCGTATCGTTCACTCAGCATTACAAGAAATGGACTAAAATGCTGATGCTAGCCAGGCAGATCACCTGAGGTTAGGAGCTCAAGACCAGCCTGGCCAACATGGTGAAACTCCGTCTCTACTAAAAATACAAAAAATTAGCCAGGCATAGTGGCCCATGTCTATAGTCCCTGATACTCGGGAGGCTGAGGCAGGAGAATCGTCTGAACCCAGGAGATGGCGGTTGCAGTGAGCCGAGATCGTGCCACTGCACTCTAGCTTGCGTGACAGAGCAAGACTCTGTCTCAAAAATAAATAAATAATAAATAAATAAAACAAAATGCTGATGCTGGCTGAGTCATATGCAAAGGCACAATCATTGAACAGCACATAGTGAGGGCCACAGCACAAAGTACTCCTGGCCTGGTATCCAAAGCCCACCTGCCTAACCTCTGCTTCTTACCATGCCTGGTGAGAAGGGAAAAGAGAGAGCTCCTGTGACCACAGCGGGTAGAGATGAAGCAGTGGGGCAGAGGCGAGGAGGGCATGGCGCATGCAAGGCTGACAGGTTCCACGTTTGTTGGGGCTAGGGGATGGTTGGGCAAGGAGGGTGGACTGTCAACAGCAAGCAGGGGCAAGGGGCCTGGAAAGCTCTCTGCAGGCCAGGGTGGCCTCTAATTCAGTCTCCAAGCCTCCTCAGGGGTAGATGATATCACCTCCCTGTACAAGCCACCTAGAGGCAGCAGGCCCTGGAGGTATATTTTGATTTAATAAACATTTATTTAATTAATAAACGAAGCCCACCCTTGGCTCACTGGCCACAGTATATTCAGTGCACGCCACCCTCGGTGTGAGACTGCTCCCTTTTCCTGGCTGTTCTTGACTTCAGGGTTGGAAACTGAACAACAGTCGCCTAAGAGCACAAACAGGTGGCTCCCTTTCTTTTCCCATGATTAGAAATGGCTCTGTAACAGGAGAATTACCACTGTATTAGCATTTTAGAAACCTTGCTGGGCTAAGGACAGGCTGAGTACTTTGTCAGGGGCACGCTCAGGAGTTTTCACCTCACTCTCTGATATGAATACTTAGGCTCTCTACTTCTCACTATCATCACCTTGGTGACTAATGCAGAGGTTGGTGGCTCATACCTGTATTCCCAGCACTTTTGGGAGGCCAAGGAGGAAGGATCACTTGAGGCCAGGAGTTTGAGACCAGCCTGGGCAACATAGCAAGACCTGGCCTCTACAAAATTAAAAAATAAAATTAGCTGGGCATGGTGGTACATGCCTGTACTCTCAGCTCCTTGGGAGGCTGAGGTGGGATGATTGCTCAAGCCCACAATATTGAGGCTGTAGTGAGCTGTGATTGTGCCACTATACTCAGCCTGAGCAAGAGCGAGACCCTATCGCAAAAAAAATTTAAAAATAAAAATTAAAAATAAAAGACCTATTTCTCAAAAGATGCCATTTGTCTATTTCATTATTTTCTAAAGTTTCACTTTCACTAATTTGATCAAGTCTTAATTTTTTTTTTTTTTTTTTTAAATTGAGAAGCAGAGATGGAGTCTGCCTCTGTCGCCCAGGCTGGAGTGCAGTGGCGCAATCTCAACTCACTGCTACCTCCCCCTCCTGGGTTCAAGTGATTCTCCTGCCTCAGCCTCCCGAGTAGCTGGGACTACAGACATCCACCACCACACCTGGTAATTTTTTGTATTTTTAGTAAAGATGGGGTTTCACCGTGTTACCCAGGATGGTCTTGATCTGCCTGCCTCGTCCTCCCAAAGTGCTGGGATTACAGGCGTGAGCCTGTAACACGTGCACTGGGTACTTCAAATTTTTTGCTGCTCTGCACATGCGCACATCTGTGATAGACCAGAAGTGCCGAGAATATTGATTTTGGGGCTACAAAAAACTTTAGTGAGTAGGCAAATTCACAAACACAGACTCTATGAACAATGAGGCTCAACCACAAATGGAATCATACAAAATGTGGCCTTCCATGGATGGTTCTTTCATTTAGCATATTTTCAACATTTATGTACCATAAGACAGTACTTCATTGCTTTTTATGGCTAAATAAGATTTCATTGTAGAGATACACTACTTTTTTGTTGTTGCTTGGTTTTGTTTTGAGAGGGAGTTTGGCTCTTGTTGCCCAGGCTGGAGTGCAGTGGCACAATCTTGGCTCACTGCAACCTCCACCTCCCAGGTTCAAGCGATTCTTCTGCTTTAGCCTCCCAAGTAGCTAGGATTGCAGGTGCTTGCCACCACGCCCAGCTAATTTTTTGTATTTTTAGTAGAGACAGAGTTTCACCATGTTGGCCAAGCTGGTCTTGAACTCCTAACCTCAGGTGATCCACCCACCTCAGCCTCCCAAAGTGCTGGGATTACAGGCGTGAGCCACCGCTCCCGGCTCACATTTTGTTTATTCACTCACCAACTGATGGACATTTGGGCTCTTTCCACTTCCTGTTCATTGTGAATAATGGTGCTATGAACATCTGTGTACAAGTTTTTACTGAGCATATGTTTTCATTTCTCTTGGGTAGATATAGCTAAGAGTGGAACTGCTGGGTCATATGAGCATCTTTTCATATTACTATTTCTTCCATTATGCTTACTTTTCTGTACTTGTAGATGGCTAAAGTTAGCTAGAGGTTGTGAATTGAGGAGGTCAAAGAACTTCAAGGCTGGATCTGGAAGAAGCCATAATTGGGAATGCCGAAGTTTCTAAGGACAAGGGCAGGAGACAAAAATCATGAGCAGGTGCTCTGGGGACAAAGGAAGAGCACTGGAAGATTACAGCAGGAGGGTGGCACAATTGGCTTTCTCTTTCTTTCTTTCCCTCCTTTTTTTTTTTTTTTGGTACAGACAGGGTTTCACCGTGTTGCTCAGGCTGGTCTCAAACTCTTTGGCTCAAGCAATCTGCCTGCATCAGTCTCCCAAAATGCTGGGATTACAGGCGTGAGCCACTGTGCCCGGCCTCAAGTGGCACTTTCACTTACCATATTTAGGAAACAAATGAAGGAATGGTGAGGCATTTGAAAGGGCAGGGTTTGCAGGACAGTGGCAGCTGAACAGCAGTCAGGAAATAGCACCAGAAAAACAGGGACACCCAACATATGAAGAATCAGGCAGGTGGGAGAAGGAATGGCATGTCCAGAAGAGCTGCCATTTGGGAAAAGCAGACCCAAGTGGGTCTGAGGAGGCAGCAAGGGGACTCAGCATCCTTGCCTGCCTGTCCCACCTCTGCCATCCTGTCTCCCATCCTGCATGCTCCTCCCATCAACAGCTGAAGTCTATTTTCCCTCTCATTAAATCTGGACTTGCCTGACCAAAAGAATCTGCAGAAGCGACACTGTACCAGTTCTGTACCTTCACCCTGGAACCCTGACACCACCATGCTCTGAAAGCGTTCAATCTAGCCTTGTGGAAAATACGAGAACACAAAGAGAACCAAAGTGCCTTAGCTAATGCCATTTCCACACATGTGCACGATGCCTACCAGCACTTCCCAGCCAAATTGAGTTCTCAGCTCAATACAGCTGCATGAGTGACCCCAGGAACGAATGGTCAGCTGTAGAACCATGCAGCTGAGCCCAGCCAATCTCCAGAGTAAAAACTAATAAACTGGTGTTACTTTAAGCCACAAAGTTTTGATAGGGGTTATAATGTAGTAATAGATAACAAACATGGGAATGTGGCCATCAAGTGCCAGGAACATTCTTGATGCATGTGAGGATGAATCAAGGCCATGCCACAAACAATCTACATAATAATGTTCTAGGAAGGAATCCTCAACTGTTCCAAATCACAAAATAGCAATTCTGGCTCTGTCCATTGTGGCACACAGAAAAGCTCCTGTACCAAAATTTTTACCTTAAAAATCCCAAGTCAACAGTACGTTTTATAAAAAAATTAAAAGCTGCCCCTAAGTTATTTGGCTCTTTAGGGGGGAAAAAAAAAGCAGCCACAGTGTGAAAAAGCACAGCATTTTGGCAATGCACCTGGAGAGGAAGGTAAAAAGTGAATAATCCTGCCACGGCCTTCTACACAGCAGCCCCATGAGAGGCGGCAAAGCACGTGCATCCATCTCCTGAGAGCCTCCCTGGCCCTAGCTCCACCCTCTCAAGTCTACAGGTAAGGAAGGAGTCCCAGAACTCTTTGTGGCCAGAACTTGAGGTGCAGGGCTTTCCTAGGCAGCCTGGCCTAGAAGGACTGCCACTCCCCAGGCACGGTAGTTTAACAGACATGACTCAGCAAGGACTCCAGGAATTATTGAACACTCTTGATCAAATGCAGTTATAGGTTTTCAACAGTGCTAGGAATCTGTATTAAAAAAAACCAGGTCAGCCGGACATGGTGGCTCATGCCTGTAATCCCAGCACTTTGGGAGGCTGAGGCCGGTTGATCACCTAAGGTCAGGAGTTCAAGACCAGCCTGGCCAACATGATGAAACCCTGTCTGTACTACAAATACAAAAATTAGCCGGGCATGGTGGCGGGCGCCTGTAATCCCAGCTACTCGGAAGCCTCAGGCAGGAGAATCGCTTGAATCCAAGAGGCGGAGGTTGCAGTGAGCTGGGATGGCACCACTACACTCCAGCCTAGGTGACTCTGTCTCAAAAAAAGACAGGACACGACACGACATGACACGACATGACACAACAAGACCAGGCCATGTGCACTGAGAAGAACTGTGTCAAGCTTTTATAAACATCAACTTGTACACAAACAAGGACCAAGCCCACTAGAGACTGTTCTGCCCTGACCGAATGTTTAGCACCCACTCCTTTCTTCTACTCAGTGTGGGAGTCTAATGGGCACCTTTCATGGTGATTATTTCCAACAAGTGAGGCTCAATTTTTCTTGTGAAAGGCTTTCCACGCCACCTTCCAGGGCTTTTCTCAGTCACTGAAACACAGGACCTCCTCAATCCCTGTGCAGGTCAAAAGTTCAACTGAGTTATTCCCATGGGACTGGTGGGACCTCAGCCATACTTTGCATGCACCTGGCAAGGCAGGAGTTCTCTGCACTCTGTCGGAGCTGGCATTAGAAAGGACCCATGAGCCCCCACCTGAGAGCAGTACCACCCAAAGAAACCCTCCACTTGTAGCCTCTCAGGTGCCAGCTTTGCCCACTCTAATCTAAACAGACTTTACACTAAAAGAAAGCCACCACAATATGAGATGAGGGCTTCCAAAGAAAGTCTGGAATTAAATGAAAACTAGACACAGTCCATAACAAACTCTAGTCACTTCTAGGGGACAAAAGTGAGGACAACCACAATACTGACTCAAATACTCTTCCCAGAAGAATGAGCATGTGTATGTTCACACAGCCACACACAGACACATGCACCACGCACAGCCACATCCAACTCCAGGGAATCCCAGGCCCACTAAAGCCAACCATGTGCCTTCATCTGGGAATACTGCCCTTACATCTGCCTCTGTCCCTCCGCTCACATCACCCCTTGAGCCACTAGGCTCTAGCTCACCCCCTTCCTATAGCCTGGAAGGCTCTCTCCAACCTCCTTTCCTCCATGGAGTCTGAGTTCAGGCACTAACTACTGTGTAAGGCCACCTTAAATCCCACTCTCCCTTCCCCTTGTAGGCAGCCCCACAGTCCTTCATCCCTTCCAGAAACCAGGGCCTGAACCCCTCTGCACCAACAGCAAGCCGCTGGGCTTGTCTGTCCATGTGTGTTCCCACTGTGGACAGCAGCCCAGGGTTGAGCACTGGGAGGGCCTCCTCAATCCCTGTACAGGTCAAAAGTTCAGCTGAGATGAGTCATTCCCACAAGGCCTGACAGGACCTCAGCTACATTTTGCGTGTACCTGGTAAGGTAGGAAAGATTCTCTGGATTCTGTCTGATCTGGTATCAGAAACCCCCACCCCAGAGCAGCACCCCCAAAGACCCCCTCCAAGGAAGACACAGGCACATGTCTTACCTTGGTCGGTTTTGGTTGCTGGCTTCCAGTTTTCAGCGCTAATTACTGGCAGACAGACCTGCCCCTTTTCGTCAATGTTCGGGTGATAGATCTTTGTTTTAAATGTGATCTTCGGTGGTTTGAATGGGTACTCTGCTGGAAAGTTGATTTCGATTCTGAAGGCCCCCTTATCATATGGAGGGTTGTCCTGGAAGGAAAGAGAGATCAAAATGAACACACCATGGTTCATAAACCTATGGCCAAGACAGGAATGTTTCAATTGTTTATCTGAAAAATCAATTTATTTCAAGGGATTCAAGTATCAACTGAAGCCCTGCCACCTTCAGGACAACCTAGCCACCCATTAGTATTTCCAGAGCAAGATATCTGCTAAACTGAGAAAAGGCTTGAGATTGATGTCCTGGTCTCTTTATACTTTTTTAAAAAATAGACTTTACTTTTTAGAATACCTTTAGGTATACAGCAAAACTGAGAGGAAAGGACAGAGTGTTCCTATATACCCCCTGCCCCTAAATACACACAGCCTTCCCCACTATCAGCATCTCTCGCCAGAGGGGCAAATTTGTTACCATCAATGAACCTTTTACCTTAACACATCATGACCTCTCAGATTCCCTAGTTTATGTTAGGGCTCACACTTGGTGTTGCATATTCTATAGGTTTTATGTGGTTATCAGACAAGCTGGAATCATGCAATATGTAGCTGCTATGTCTGAATGTATCTCCCCAAAAATCTTATGTTGAAACCTAATCACCAATGTGATGGTATTAGGAGTTGGGGCCATTGGGAAGTGATTAGGTCATGATGGGATTGGTGTCCTTATCAAAGAGGACCCCAAGAACTGCCTTGCCCTTTCCATCATACAAAGACACAGTGAGAAGGCACCATCTATAAACCACAAAGCAGGCCCTCAGTTGCCACTGAATCTGCTGGAGCCTTGATCTTCAGACTTCCCAGCCTCAATAACTGAAAAATAAATTTGTTGTTAGAAGCTATTTGTTCTTTTTATTATTTATTTTGAGAGTCTGTTGCCCAGACTGGAGTGCAGTGGCACAATCTCGGCTCACACAACCTCCGCCTCCTGGGTTCAAGCAATTCTCCTGCCTCAGCCTCCCAAGTAGCTGGGATTACAGGCACCCATCTCAATGCCCAGCTAATTTTTGTATCTTTAGTAGAGATGGGGTTTCACCATGTTGGCCAGGCTGGTCTTGAACTTCTGACCTCAAGTGATTTGCCAGCCTCGGCCTCCCAAAGTGCAGGGTTTATAGGCATGAGCCACTGTGCCCAGCTGTTACTTGTTTTTCTTCCCTTCATACTTACTTACTTATTTATTTTTAACAGGGTCTTGCTCTGTTGCCCACTGGAGTATAGTGGCATGATCTTGGCTCACTGCAACCTTGACTTCACAGGCTCAAGCAGTCCTCCCCACCTCAACCTCCCAAGTAGCTGAGACTACAGATAGGCACCACCACGCCCAGCTAATTTTTTGTACTTTTGTAGAGACTGGGTTTTGCTATGTTGTTCAGGCTGGTCTCAAACTCCTGGGCTCAAGAGATCTGCCTGTCTCGGCCTCCCAAAGTGCTAGGATTACAGGTGTGAGCCACTGCACCCAGCCTCATTTCTTCTTAGTGTTAAATATCATTTGTCTAGATGTACTACAATTTATCCATTAACCCACTGAAGGACATGTGGGTTGCTTTCAAACCTTAGCAATTAATGAATAAAGCTGTTATAAGCATCTGTGTGCAGGTTCTGTGTGGATACAAGTTTTCAATTCATTTGGCTAAATACCAAGGAATGTAATTGCAAGATTGAATGGTAAGAGGTATGTTTAGTTTTGTAAGAAACTGCCAAACTGGGCCAGGAGCAGTGACTCGTGTCTGTAATCTAAGCACTTTGGGAGGTCAGGGAGGGAGGATCACTTGAGGCCGGGAGTTCAAGACCAGTTTGTGCAACATAACAAGACCCCATCTCTACAAAAAATAAAATAAAAATAAAAATAAAATATATTAGCCTGGGCCAGGCTCAGTGGCTCACACCTGTAATCCCAGCACTTTGGGAGGCTAAGCTGGGTAGATCACTTGAGGTCAGGAGTTCAAGACCAGAATGGCCAACATGGTGAAACCCTGTCTCTACTAAAAATATAAAAAAATTAGCAGAGCGCAATGGTGCCTGCCTGTAGTCCAGCTACTCAGGAGGCTGAGGTAGGAGAATCGCTGAAACCCTGGAGGCAGAGGTTGCAGTGAACTGAGATTGCGCCACTACACTCCAGCCTGGGCGACAGAGCGAGATTCCACCTCAAAAAATAATAATAAAATAAATATATTAGCCTGGCATGGTGGCGTGTGCCTGTAGTCTCAGCTACTTGAGAGGTTAAGAAGGGTGGACTTCTTAGGCCCAGGAGTTTGAGAATGCAGTGAGCTGTGATCAAGCTTCTGCACTCCATTTTGGGCAAGAGTGAGACTCAATTTCTTTGTTAAAAAGATTTTATGAATAAATAAATGAAAGAAACTGCCTAACTTGTCTTCCAAAGTGGCTGCACCATTTCGCATTCCCACCAGCAAAGAGCGAGAGTTCCTGTTGCTCTACATCCTCAGCAGCATTTGGCAGTGCTCTGGATTTTGGTCATTGTAAGAGGTGCACAGTATTATTTATTGTTGTTTTCTTATTACAGATTTTTCAGTTTTCTTTGTCCTTTCAACAGTCCTTTATCAGATAATGTTTTTGCAAATATCCCTTGATCTTCTCTGAAGATACAAGTAGAGTTGTACCAGAGGTAAGTTACAACCCAACCAGAGTACAATGTGAGTACTGGAAGTCCAAATAACGGCCTTGATGCCAAGTCCTGGCCAGTTCAATCTTCCCAGGGTGGAAGCAGTAGTCAGCTCAATGGCTGGACCCTGGTGACCTGAGCTGGTCACTCAACAGGTGATCACCAGGCAGGGCCAGCACCATGCCCTAGATCCTTGCCCCTGGAACCACTGGAAAACCACCTTTGGGGCCTGGACACTGATGGCCCCAGGAGCCTGAGATGACCCAGCAAAGAACCTTTTGGCCTCTCCCCAATCCTACCTATCTCCAGAGCTGAGGAAGCCCTTCCCATTGTACTCCCTTTTCCCTCACCCAGGTCTGCCATGGCACACCTAACCCAAAGGAAGCCAAGCTTCACAGAGGGCCCAAGAACAATCTTTTTTTTTTTTTTTTTTTTTGGACGGAGTCTTGCTCTGTCGCCCAGGCTGGAGTGCAGAGGCGCGATCTCAGCTCACTGCAACCTCCACCTCCCTGGTTCATGCAATTCTCCCGCCTCAGCCTCCTAAGTAGCTGGGATTATAGGTACCCACTATCCTGCCCGACTAATTTTTTTTATTTTTATTTTTAGTAGAGACGGGATTTCACCATGTTGGCCAGCCTGGTCTTGAACTCCTGACCTCAGGTGATCTACCCGCCTTGGCCTCCCAAAGTGTTGGGATTACAGGAGTGAACTTACTGCACCTGGCCCCAGGAACAATCTTGACAACCCTACACCTCAGCCCCATGTCTTCAGGCCCTGGCCTAAGTAGGCACTCCAGTAAACAGAGCTCCTCTGCTGGGGAGCAAGGCTGGCGCACCAGTTCTCCACATTCTCCTACCTTCAAGCCCTACCCTGGGAGGAAAGGCATGGAGCAAGGGCCTTAAAGGATGGATAAGATGACATAAGGCTGAGGAGCGGGACAGGCCTCCCAAGCAGAGAGGACTAAAGCCTAGATAGCAGGGACTAGGAAGGAATAGCATAGAGTAAGACAGAAGGCTGCAGGCAGACAGTGGGGCCCCAGGGCTACTGAAGCCATGCATCCAGGTCTGAACCACCCCCCAGCAGCTGAAACCACTGTTAGCATATTTATCTGTGGGGAGTCACCCAGGCTGGAGTGCAGAGGTGCAATCACAGTTCACTGCAGTCTTGACTTGCCAGGCTCTAGCAATCCTCCCACCTCGGCCTCCCAAGTAGCTGGGACTACAGGCATATGCTACTATACTCAGCTAATTTTTTATTTCTTGTAGTGATAGGGTCTCACTATGTTGTCCAGGCTGGCCTCAAACTCCTGAGCTCAAGTGATCCTCCCGCCTCAGCCTCCCAAAGCGCTGGAGTGCTGCGATTATAGGAATGATGCACCATGCCCAGCCAGTTTTTAGTTTTCAAGAGGAGAATTAAATGGTAGTGGTGGGGGAGGGGGGGCGGAATAAGTAAACATCATTGTCATTTACAGTGCTTGAGTCACCTAAAAATAGCTTTCCCTAGCTGGGTGTGGTGGCACACCTGTAGTACAAACTACTTAGGAGGCTGAGCCAGGAGAATCACTTGAACCTGGGAGGCAGAGGTTGCAATGAGCCAAGATTGTGCCACTGTACTCCAGCCTGGGCAACAGAGTAAGACCCTGAGACAGACAGACACAGATACACACACACACACACACACACACACACACACGCTTTCCTGCGTAAATTTTGGTTGGTGAAATCTGCTAAAGGTCTTCACTGATTGTCCAGGACTGACCAACCTCCCCTGTTCCCCACTGTGGGCCAGGTCCTGTCCGAGAAGCTGGGGTCAAGCATGAACGAGGCCATCTGGCCCCAAGTTAGCAGGTCTAGCCTCAGGCTCTGCCTCTTCCTAGCTTAAAGAGTCTGAGAATGTTCCCGTACATCTGTAAAATGGGAGTAGCAGCAGCCTGCACCCAGAGTTCATGATGAGAGATAAGGACTATAAAGTCCTACATGCCTCACACATGGGCAAAGCTCAAGAGAAGCAGATTTGGCTGGGTGCAGTGGCTCATGCCTGTAATCCCGACACTTTGGGAGGCTGAGGCAGGAGGATCACAAAAGCCCAGGAGGTTGAGGCTGCAGTGAGCCATGATCGCACCTCTACACTCTAGCCTGGGTGACAGAATGAGACCCTATCTCAAAAAAGCCAAAAACAGACTGGGCGCAGTGACTCAGGCCTGTAATCCCAGCACCTTGGGAAGCTGAGGCGGGCAGATCACTTGAGGCCAGGAGTTTGAGACAAGCCTGGCCAACATGTGAAACCCCGTCTCTACTAAAAATACAAAAATTAGCCAGGCGTGGTGGCGCATGCCTGTAATCCCAGCTACTTGGGAGGCTGAGGCAGGAGAATCACTTGAACCTGGGAGGCAGAGGTTGTGGTGAGATGATAT